GTCAGCTACTGTGTCACTTATGTTTATTTGTTGCCACTAATAAAAATTATGACTGAAAAATAGAAAATACCGAAAAAAAGGCTGAACCGTACGGATTTCGGAGCAGAAGTGCGTGAATACTGAACCGCCATACTAACTTAACGTGAACCGCTGCACGCGCTGTACGTTTTTCTTGAGCTGGTTTGTGAGGCGGTAGCTCTAGCTTAGATACTTGAGCCGTGAGCTGAACTGCACTATATATTTATTTAGTTACCCATGTTTACAACTGACTTGTCCACAGAAATCGTAATAATAAGACACTATTATTACGATTTCTGTGGACTTGTCAGTACCGACTGGACGATTTGATTCAGACTTTTGCAACTCACGCGGTCTGCTAATTACCGCATATGATAATACATAAAATTCAAAAACCTGCGCTTAAATAGGCCAGCTGCACTAATAAAATCATTTTCATCTTTTGTTCAAGAGATTTGCATTTGCACATGTCTTTTTTCTATAGGAGAGGGGACAAACGAGCATGCGGCTCACCTGATGGTAAGTGACTACCGCCGCCCATGAACAACTGCAACACCAAGGGAATTGCAGATGAGTTGCCGGCCTTTTAAAAAGGAGTAGGCTCCTTTCTTGAAGGTCCCTAAGTCATATCGGTCCGGTAATCGCTGATGGTAATCGATTCCACAAGGAAGTCGTGCGAGGAAGAAAACATCTTCTAAATCGCAGTGTTGGACCGCCAATCATCCAGATGGTGTGGATGGTATCAGGAGTTCTGCCGCGATGTGATTTCGTGAAATTTGGCGGCTGGGATTAATCCGAACAATTCCTCAGAGCACTCCTCGTGGTAAATGCGAAAGAAAATGCAAAGGGATGCAACATCTCTTCGCAGTGTCAATGAATCGAGCCGATCAGAAAGGATTCGGTCGTCGACGCTTCGAGCCGCTCTGCGCTGGATGCGTTCAAGTGAAAGGAGCTGGCACTGGGGAGCCCCTGTCCAGAGATGGGAACAGTATTCTATGTGAGGCCGAACCTGCACCTTGTAAAGTTGCAGGCGGTGTGCCGGCATGAAATACTGTCCCGCTCTGCTGAGCACGCCAAGCTTTTTAGAGGCCAATTTGGCCTTCTCTTCCAAGTGACCACGAAACTACACGTCACTCGATATGTCGACTCCGAGGATTCCGATACTGGCTGAGGCAAGAAGGAGTGCCTTGAAACTGAGTAGATACGACAAAGAGCGTTCTTTTTAGCGGTAAACGCGCAAACTTGTGTCTTCTGAGGATTAAACTGGACTAGATTTAGTCGCCCTCAATCCGAGACTTTGTTCAGCAAAGACTCGACTTCAGACACAAGTTTGTTCCGGTACTCGGTGACGTTTTCCCGAGAAAAATTGGCATGGCCGGTGTATAGAGCATCACCAGTGCTGTCATCCGCATAGCAATGAATGTTACCAGTTAGCAACATATCATTGATATGCAGAAGAAACAGCGTTGTGGAACACCAGCGTTAATAGGCTTGTAGTCGGAGCATGCACCGCCTATAACGACCTTGATGCTCCGATCTACAAGGAAGCTGGTGATCCAATTGCACAATTTCTCGGGAAGCCCATAGGAAGGGAGCTTCGAAAGAAGCGCTTTGTGCCAAACCCGATCGAAGGCTTTCGCAATGGCCAAACTAACGGCCAACGCCTTTCCCTTGGACTCTACTGCCTCCGCCCATCTATGGGTCAGGTAAACCAGAAGATCACCAGCTGATCGACCCCGACAAAAACCGTATTGGCGGTCACTAATCAGCTGGTGATCCTCAAGGTACCGCATGAGCTGGCAGTTAATAATGGATTCCATTATTTTGGAGAACAAGGAGGTGATGACGATAGGCCTGTAGTTGGACGGGTCTGAGCGGTCGCCTTTTTTAGGGATCGGGTGGACAAAAGCTGTCTTCTATGAATTCGAGATTACGCCTTGGGAGTAAGAGTGCCGGAAAAGACGCGTTAGGACCGGTGCCAACTCAGGAGCACACGTCAGCACAATGGGGGGGGGGGATTCCGTCAGGCCCACTCGATTTCTGTATGTCCAGGGAGAGGAGTGCTTTGCGAACCAAGCGCTGTGAGAACAGCACATCCGGCATGGAGAACTCACACGCGGGATGGTCGGCGGTATTTTCCCCCCGTCATCAAGAGTCTAGTTGGACGCAAAAAGGGAGCCTAAAAGGTCGGCTTTGTCTTTTGCGGCTTGGGCCTGTGAGTCGTCCTCCCTGTGCAGAGATGGTAGTAATGGCTTACAGAAATTCCCTTGGACAGCCTTGGCGAGAAATCAGAATGCACGGGTTCCCGAAGGAAGGCGAACTAGTTTCTCGTCAATTCTGCCTATGTGCTCTGACTTTGCCTTGGCAATAACTCTTTTGAAGGACCTGGAGGCGAAGTTATACTTCTTTTTAAGTGTGCTGGTGTTTACATCACGAGTCGCCGAAGCCGCAGCCCAGGCCTGATAACACTCCTGCTTACTGCGTAATGCAGTCTTACAGGAGCGACCAAACCAAGGCTGAGATCTGGCTCCGATGGGTACCACAGATGATGGAATAAATAGTTCCATTCCCTGTAGCACCACATCAGTGACAGAGTCAGCAACAACGCTGGGATCATCCGGCGAGACGAAAACTCGCCCCCCATGGGTAGGGAGCAAAGAAAGACCGCATTCCGTCCCAATCCGCCGTCCTGTAATGCCAAACACGGCGGCGACCTGCAGAACGCAACTGCAAGGGGAGCGTGAATGGCACCACACTCCGGAGAGCCGAGAGGGCCATCGATGGAAACCTGATATCCGTCCGGATGAAAGGTCAGCAGAAGGTCCAACAGGGAAGGTGTATAATCCTCCACATCTAGAATCCGCGTAGGCGAAGTAACCAGTTGTGTCAGACCATATGCCAAGGCAAAGTCATAAACAGATCTCCCCGCATGATCGGTTAAACGTGAACCGAGCCATTCGGCGTGGTGGGCGTTAAAATCGCCAAGGATCACGATCTCTGCGGATGGGACCTGTTGTAGCAAGGAATCTGTAGCCATTTGGACGTGGTCGATGAGTCGGTCTGTTTCGGCATTACCGCTATGGGACCTATAGAGGCACCCGTAGACGCGCGGATGGTCGTCGCTGTCTACGCGTAGCCAAAGGATGGACAGGTCGGAGCCTTCAAGACTACCGAGGCGTCAAGAACAGATGTCCTCTCTGACATACATGCAAACTCTAGCCCGAGGCACAAAGGAGTGCTCCAATTTGTACCCTGGGTAGGAGAGATACGAAGTATGAGAGTACGAGATGGTAGTGGGCAGCGTTTAGGTTCGAATGAAGTCCCCTGATGTTGCAGAAATTCTCGGATAGCATGGCAGGGGTCGCCTTGGTATTGTTGCTCAGTTTGCCCCGAGCAGTTATGTTTTTGAGCGGAATTTTGCCCCCCCCCCCCCCCCCCCAGAATACGCGGGGCAGCCTGAGCACTCACACTCAGGAGTGGAATAACATGGTCGAGGATGCTCAGCGAGGGATTCTCCAAGGGTGCTGGTAGTCTTTGGTGTAGTCTTTGGTGTAATTCCGCTACTGTTGCTGGGGGGGGGGGGGGATTGGGCCTCCGGCCACCTGCACTCACCAGACGAAACGCAGAAGCAGAGCTTCTACTTCACGCCGGTATTCTGTGAGGTCGTGGTACCAACCCGGTTCGAGCCGGCCCATACGTGCAACTGCAAAAACTGCCGCTTGGCTCTACCACTGTTAAAAGTCTGAGGGTATGTTCATTAGTGTTTGCAAATAGCTGTATATTTATATATATGTTAAATGGGATGTCTACATTTCATACGCAGTTTTGTCCCGTGGGTATCGTAAGAGGTTTTGGGGAAGGTCGTAATTTATCGGAGGCTATGAAGTATTTCTGCCTCATAGTCTCTCGTTAGAGAATAATATTTCTGTGCTCATGGGACCTCTAATAAATAGCGATATACAATCTCACATGCCAAATATAAAATGCTGGCGACGCCGAGCAGAATCAAAGGTACCAACATAGATTTAAATATATGTACTAGCGAATCATTTGTTACTACGATGACCAGCTCGTTTGTTGTGATTATGGCAAATTTCGTCTATAATGGGAAAAATCGAAGTCCAGCAGTGGACCGTTACGATCCGATATAGTACACAGATTTTGAACCGATTCGAAATTCGAACCAGTGACCGCTTGATCAGCAGTCGTACTTACAACAACCAGACCAACGAGACACTAGTTTCTTTGTTATCGATATAGAGCATAGAGGTAAGGACTATCTCTGTGTATGAAAGTTAAATTAGGGTGGCGCATGGTAAATTTTAAATTAATTATTTTAATACAAAAATTAAATTGTATAATTTTGGTCAAAAGTAGAGAACAAAAGTGCATCAAAAACAAAATGATAAAAAAAATTCACAGGTGTCAATTTTTGGATGAATAAATTATTGGAATAAATCTATAAAAACGTTTGAAAATATTTTTATTGGCATTAAAAAAAATATTTATAAACTGACTCGGCACACTTCAATCCACTTACAACTGCTACATTCATACCGTACCCTGTATCTACGCTAGCACCATTCTGGAAGGTTTTTGGACTGTTATTTACAGCTTACAGCTGGACACTTTTTCATCTTGTCTACCATATGAGTCCTCCTTACCTCTACCCTCTTTAGTTATCCATCTAGCAAAACGCAAATAGATTATAGGATATAAAAATTACTTTTTATGTTTTAACTAAAAATTAAAGATCTGCAATATAACTTAGTGTAGTAATTTCAGAAATTAAACACACTTTTATTACATTATTGACTTGCATCAAGTCGTAACATGTACTAATTTTATTAAAATAAATTAATCCACAGAAAGCTACAAGCCACAGCCAAAGACTGTGTAGTAGTTGTTCGATTTGGATGCGCAATACGAATAATATTTAGTGAGCAGATAGTAGTTATGGGTTATTTGTTTTTTTTTTGTTTTCATTTTAATGCTTCGTTATCAATGTCTTTAACCTGAAGACCGAAGTAATCTGCCACAAATTTCAAAGCCTGCTCCTTGTTCAATGTTACTGTTCCCTGGGGATTTTCAATGAATAAAGTTGCAACTTTAGTTCCATCTGAAAAATTAATAAACTTACAAAAAGGACTAGTTGTGTTTTCAATTTCTTTTGGTTTTATTGGCGAAACGATTATAGTTTTCGCGTTTAATTTGGTAGTATCTTTAATCTCGGTGCCATTACACCAAAGTGTAAACTTAATTCCATACAGACCAAACAGGACTCTAATTTCTTCATAAAGATTATCCACAGATAAAAATTTATTATCCTTATCAGTAAGAATGATGCTAGCTTGACTAGTTGTAGCACCAAAGCGAGGGGCCAAATTTTGAAGAATAACATTTGCCCAAGGGTTTGCCGGCATTTCTACATGTTTTCTCCAGGTGATAACCAATTTTAACTCTGTGCCTTTTAGTTCTTGTACTTCTTGAATCACAACCGGCTTCGACTCTGGGAGCGCTTCAATAGGTTTCAAAGGTGCTTTCACGGTAGTTTCAATAAGTTCTCGGTGCAAATTAATAATGCGAAGAATATCTCCCGTTTTTGTTGTCGAAAAGAAGACATCTACCTCATCAGTGGGAACTAAATGTGCTTTCTTTCTAAGTTTTTGCACTCTGTTAATAATTTCCCTAGCGAAACCTTCATCAAGCATATCTTGATCAGGTGTGACATTCAATAAGATTAAAACATCGTTGTCGCTGTGTGCTTCATACTGATCGTTTCCTGTAGCTTGGAATATAACCCTCACTTCAGACACGTCAATTCTTTGCCCTATTAGTTCAACATATCCATCTTCTATTAATTTTTCACATTGTTCGTTGTTAAGGTTCTTTAAAGCTTGAGTAACAGCTTTAAAATCACCTTTTAAACGGGCTCCAAGTATTTTGTGATCTGGTTCTACTCTAAGTGTTATGCCATACTTTTCTTTGTCACTCGTAAGTTGTACTTTCTTTACATTCATTTCTTCTAAAACATATGTTAGTAATGAATTAACATCATTTAAATAAGTTTCGTCGCGGTGTATAACAATCATTTCTGGCAATGGATATTTTATTGGTATGGTTTTTCTATCTCTTAGAACTCTACCTAATTCAATTACCGATTGCATTCTTTGAACGGCTCTTTCAATGTTTGTATCCACCAAATTATTTTTTGGTTCGGGTATCATGTTAAAATGCACACTCTCTAAAGAATCGCCTGGTAAAAGTTGTCGCAAGGTCTTGTACATCAATTCTGTTAGGAAAGGTGTGAAAGGCGCCATTACACGAATCATGTCAAACAAAACGCCATACAACGTATCTAATGCAACTTTACAATCTTTTACACCATTTTCACCCTTTAGCCTTCTACGGTTCATTCTCACATACCAGTTTGTTAATTGATCGATAAATTTTGTTAGCCTCGGAACTACAGTATATAACCGATAGGCGGCCATTTCTTTCTTTACAAATTGAATCAATGATTGTGTAAAGGATGTAATCCATTTGTCCATGACATTTTCCCTTACTGGATTCTCGTTGAATTTATAGTCAATATTATCTTCCTGCACAATTCTTTCCACATTTTGCATCAAGAATCTAAAAGCATTATACCAGGGCAAGAAAACATCCTTTATAACATCCCTAACACCTTCTTCTTTAAATCTCAAATTCTCAGCTTTTACTACTGGAGAATTCACTAAGTACAAACGTAATGCATCTGCACCATATTTACCCACAACTTCAAGAGGATCGGGATAGTTCTTTTTTCGCTTAGACATTTTTTGACCATCAGATGCCAGGATTAAACCATTAGCGATTAAGTTTTGGAACGGCGGTTTGTTGAATAAAGCAGTCGATAGAACAATGAGTGTGTAAAACCAACCCCTAGTCTGGTCTATACCTTCAGCAATGAAATTAGCTGGGAATATTTCTTCAAATTCTTTCTTATTTTCAAAGGGATAATGGCACTGAGCATAAGGCATAGAACCTGATTCAAACCAACAATCAAACACTTCAGATACTCTTTTAAGTGGTGGCTGACCAGGCCGTGAAGATGGAATTTCCAAGTGATCAATACTTTCTCTGTGTAAATCGGTTACTTCTTTTCCAGTTAAAGCAGAAAGTTCCGCAATGCTACCGACACAAACTACTTCTTGTTTGTCACTTGAAATCCACAAAGGAATTGGAGTACCCCAATACCTATTGCGACTTATTGCCCAATCACGAGCTTCTTTAAGCCAATTTCCAAATCTTTTTTCTTTTACATATTCGGGCACCCAGTACGTAGCTTCGCTTGATTTCAGAAGGTCTTGGCTCATTTGTTCAACTCTTACAAACCATGACGGTACTGCTTTATATATTAGAGGTGTTTCTGATCGCCAGCAAAATGGATAACTATGCTTAACTTGGCCCACCTGCACCAACCTGTTACGCGCCTTTAAATTTGCTATTATGTTTTTATCTGCATCTTTCACATATTGTCCTACAAAGTCTTTAACAGGTTCTGTAAATCTACCGCTAGCATCAACTGGGCAAATTATATCCTGATCTCTGGTGATAATACCAGCAGCCAAACAAACTCTAAAGTCATCTTCACCAAAATATGGCGCCTGATGTACAACACCTGTTCCTGAATCATCTGTAACATATCCATCAGTTAGCACCTTATAAGCTTTAGGGCACTTTTCGACAAAATAATCGAAAATCGGCGTGTATTTAATTCCTGCTAAACTACTTCCCGGGAACTTCTCGAGAATTGCAAAGTCCTCTATATTTTTAAAAATAACAGGAAACCTTGTTTCTTGAAGAACATAAGTGTTCCCAGTTGACTTTTCTTGAACTTTTAAGTATATCAGCTTTGGATTAACACAAAGAGCTAGATTACTAGGAAGTGTCCAAGGTGTAGTAGTCCAAGCAAGTAACGAGAAACCTTTATCAGTAGGAAAAGTGACAACTACTGCTGGATCTACAACATCCTTATAATTTTGACCGGATTCAAAATTGGAGAGTGGAGTTGAGCAGGCTGTGGAGTATGGCATGACTTTAACTCCTTGATAGACTAAACCTTTGTTATACAATTCTTTAAACACCCACCAAATAGATTCCATAAACCATGGATAAAGAGTTTTGTAGTCGTTTTTGAAATCTGCAACAAACAAAAAACAATGAATGACTGTATCATTATTTTTTACATGAATTTCAATGTGTTAGAGCCATGCTGCAGCTATATTAATCGTATAGTTGTAACACAAATGGGTTGCCTCGACCGGAGAAGGACCACGCTCTCACAGAATACTAGCGTAAAATAGCAGCTTAATGCTGCTGTGTTTTGTATGGCGGGTGTAGATATCCGGAGATTCTTTTTATTGGAAAACAGGCATTCTATCTTAGTCCTCACGGCTGACAACGCATCTGCATTTTGATTCACAAACGAGGAAAGATCTAGATGTCTATAAACCACAGCAACCACTTGCCATCAGGTGGACTGTGCGCTTGCTGGTCACCAGTATTCTATTAAAAAAATCTTAACCTTTATTTAGATATGACAGGCATGCATGAACTATATTTTATTATCTCTTTACAAGCTGATGCGGCAGATGTTATTCTGTTTTTTCCACTAAGTGCCGCGATAAGTTTCACACCTAATTTGCTCTGGAGTTTTACAGAGTAAATAAAAAATTATTTAAAAACTCGCCCACAGCAACTATCAGATCTAGATTTTAAAATTTTATATAAGCACTTATACAAAGTAAATAAAAAGAATAAAAAAATAATTATAAACTAAAAAAAAATAATGTCTTTTTTAGTTTATAAATACAGATTTTTCTTTATAACTTGACTACAGCGCCACCTATCTGATAGCTATCAACCATCGTTTTGACAAAATAATGATCTCAATGGGTCAAGCCATTAGGTCAGTACTTAAACAATAAACAAAAGACATATGATTTACTAAATTTTACAAGTAACCTAATTAATGAGTATCCTGCGATATTTAGTAAACTTCTTTTAGCAAATGGGCTTTAAATAGCTAAAAAAGAAACACCAGCACAAGCAATTCTAATCCTTGTACTTTCAAACCTGTCTTTCCAACTTTGTCAGTTTTATGCACATATTGCTTCAGTGGTTATTTCTATAGTAGTATGTTGTTGTTGTACGGTATAAAATCCATAAAAACCAGTTTAATTCAAAAGTTGTGTTGATAATTATACAGGGTGTTTTTGGAACGCTCCCGAAAACTAAGACAGGCGACAGCACCAAGTATACCTTTGATCATGGGTCACAAATAAATTTGATCCTGATAAAAAAAATCATATTTTTACAACGTTTTATTAGCTTTATTCACGCGCCATCATGTTAGTACAGCTAAATGAAACGATAATTTCATAAAAAAAATCATGAAAATACTGAAACATAAAACCAGCAGTGGAAACTGAATTGATATTACCTGACTAATGGAGGTTAATGTACGCGCGAACGGTGAAAAAAGAACGCTGTCCTTGAACTTGGGCACTGAGCGATTTATCACATATTGGTACGAAGGGGGTGCGACGGGGGAACAATCCGCCAGTATTACTGTGCCTGCATGCTATTGGTTCCCGCGCTTTGTTCGCTCCAAAAATACAGTCGCATACACAGCTTACTTTGTGACTCGCGACGATGTTTTAAAAAGGAAGGAAAGAAAAATTATTTATATCTACTGTTTTATGACTAAACTAGTGAACGAAAAGGTAAATATGATAGGAGAAGGTGAATGGGGAAATTTGTGCAGTAAAGTTAAAAGTGTTGAGGAAGAATACCGAAAAAATTACCATGTGATCGACCTGATGACGGAAGCCCAAGCGAAGATAAAAGTGATGATGAAGTAGCATCTAGTAACACCCGTTGGTGTTACTGGATGCTACTTCATCATCAACATCAACATCTGGCTTCCATGTGACCTAAGACGTCATAATGGACGGCGTGTCACCCTTAGCTTAACTTTTCTTGTTACAAACTACTTTATATTTTGCGATAGAAATAACAAATAATGCTCAAGTAAACATTATCCATTTTTAATTCCCACCTCTTCCAAAGTTCTAAGTAGCTAGTAAAACACCTATTATGATTCTACAGTAAAACAATTAATTACTATAATATTATAAAACAATAGCCCAATACTATGTAGTACTTTAGAACGCGACTGTACCCACACTCCCTCCACTGTCGACCTGTATCTAGCTCGGTACGAAACAATGCTGCGGTCATAAGAAAAAAGGGCGCATCTAACAATTTTTGAATAAATGAGTTAATATACCATTCGACTTTTTTTTAGTAGAAAAGACTTATACAAATTCAACATAAAAGAAAAGACTTATTTAACCAGTTGCTACGTCATCTTTAACAATATTTGCATCGATTACTTAAATTTCAATTATTCTTGTCTTATTATTCTATATCTTATTATTAAGTCCTTATATCTTATTATTAAGAGCTGGTGTTTCACATGTGGTCCCATATAAATTTGATCGAGGTCAGACTCATCGACAGTCAGACAGATCGAATTTTTAATTTTTAATTATTATCGTAGTAAGTCTTGTATGATATCCCCTTTAAAATCATTACTCAAGAGTTGCTGGTTGTTATTTTTTGTGTCTCACTACCAATGCTTTTCTAATATTTACTAAGAAAAAAGTAATGATTTCTTATATTTACGCGAACACTACACATTGAATAAAACTATTTTTACGGATTTTATCGCGTTTAATTAACTTATTTTATATTCCCGACGTTCCCGAAGTTGTATGGGTTACCAAAAATACACAAACCGAACGCTCCATTACGTCCAATAGTGAGTCAGATCGATTCGCCAACTTACAGATTGGCTCAACACTTAGCAAAAGTACTATCACCACTCAGAGGACATACAAGAGCACACACTAAGGATTCATACTATTTTGTCAGTGAGATAAAAGACCTATGTCTTACTGACAATTAAACTATGGTCAGTTTTGATGTTCAGTCTCTATTTACATGCCTACCTGTTGAAGACTGCATCTCAATTATAACTAGGAAACTAGAGGAAAACAACATGCCAGCAGAATATGCAGTATTACTCAGACATTGCCTTACATCTGGCTACCTATTGTGGAAGGAACAGTTTTACAAGCAAGTAGATGGTGTTGCGATGGGCTCACCGGTATCTCCCATTGTCGCCGATATTTTCATGGAGGACTTTGAGGAGAAAGCCCTGCTTACTGCACCAGTAACTCCAAGTTTCTACAAGCGGTACGTAGACGATACTTTCACAATTTTACCATCAGACAAAGTAACTGCATTTTTAGAACATCTTAATTCCATAAACTCTAAAATTCAATTTACTATGGAGTTAGAGGCAAATAATTCTTTAGCTTTCCTAGATGTGTTAGTCATTCGAAATCCTAATAACAACGTAGGTCACACTGTGTATAGAAAAAAGACCCATACAAACCGATACTTAAACGGTGAATCCCACCATCACCCTTCACAGTTAGCTACCGTGGGCAAATCTTTGTTGCAGAGAGCACGAGGGATCTGTGACAGCAAACACCTGGCCGCCGAGCTTCAGCACGTCAAGCAGGTTCTGCACGACAACAAGCTTCGGGTTCCGCGCCTACGTCACAGTGACCGAGTGAAGCCGGCCACAGTCGAGCGTGTGCCTGCTGTACTACCATATGTCAGAGGTGTCACAGACAAGATTGGCTACATCTTGAAGCGAGCTTCTATTAGAACATTCTTCAAGCCGCCGAAGAAGATTAGTCAGTTCTTACCATCCGTCAAGTGCAATATTCCTCTACAAGATGCAGGAGTATACAAGCTTGATTGTGAGTGTGGTCTCTCATATATAGGGCAAACAAAACGATCAATAAAAACCCGCGTAAAAGAACACATAGCTGACGTGAAGCACCAACGTTCCGGGAAGTCTGCAGTTTGTGATCATATCCTAGACGGCCCCCGCCATTACATTAGATTTGATAAACCACAAGTCCTCGCGAAAGAACATCGATTCCTGCCAAGGATGATACGTGAGGCTATTGAAATTAAAAAACATCCTAATTTCAATAGAGAGGGAGGCTGGGTACTACCACCTGCTTGGGATCCTGTAATTCATAAAATTAAAACTAAACCCAAGCATACCACTGCAAGACTTCAAGATATAGTTAGTTCATTCTGCGTAGATCGGACCAAAATTAATAATTAAAAAGCTGAAGGTACTCCGGGTTAACTTTGACATCGGGACGTCAATCACCTCAGTCCCCCGTGACCACGGTTGCTGGAAAGCAACCGAAACGTCGGGAATATAAAATAAGTTAATTAAACCCGATAAAATCCGTAAAAATAGTTTTATTCAAGAAAAAAGTAGTAAATTACTATTAGCGTCCTTTCAAGTTCAAATGACCTTTAAATGAAAATTCGTTTTATTTAAATAAATAAACAAATTATCAAAAAAAAAATAAGTTCGTCCTTAAAATCTTCATGTCTCTACGTATATATTTCAATTTTCATATAGATACCTTTTAATATACTTTAGACACGGGGTCTGAAAGAAAAATTCATCAATTTATTTTTTATTTCCATTTTACGTTTTTGTTAGTTGCGTCCTTCTTTATTACGACGGCAGAATGTAACCCCGCCGGCTCGTGTCGCCTCACGCTGTGACGCAGTAGGTTTCAGTTTTGTCGGGGTTTGTTATTAATTGTAGTTTTTGAAACAGTTCCCTGTTGATTTTGTACACGCGTGCGCGAGCGACAGTCAATCGATTTGTTTATTAAATTGTTATTACTTGTGATTACGTGTTGTTATTATTCTTGTTGTTACGTTTTTTGTTTTAATAATGCTTAACGCGTACGTTTATAGTGATTGTGAATACGGCAACATGTTAGGTATCCGAACCTAGGTACACGAAGTATCGCTAAATAAATTGTTAAGACGTCGGGATGGAACAAGTGTGTCATACTGTGCAGTGCACAAAGTGTTGAAGCGTAACCGAATGCGCGTAAGCTGTTTCATAAGTATTTTTTTTAAATAACTTAGTACTGGACTAATATGAATAGGTACATAACTGAATACATGAGAATAATAAACATACCTACACGATGAATAAAAACTCATGACTCTAACCTTGGTTACATTTTATTTAAGTATTTTTTCATTAGCGGGGAATCGAACCAGTTATTTGGGTTATTTAACTTGTAAATTCGGATTAAAGTGGCTACGTGGAGACAAGCACAGTGGCAAAATAGTAGGTTAAGTAGATAAGTTAGGTATTTAGACAAGTGTTGTAAATTATTAGGTATTGTGGTGTGGGCCCGCTAGTTGCGGGCCGCGCGAATGTGCGTACGCGCGTAGGTACATTGACCTTTAGTCAGGTGATATCAATTCAGTCATTCCACTGCTGGTTTTATGTTTCAGTATTTTCATGATATTTTTTATGAAATTATCGAATAAAGCTAATAAAACGTTGTAAAAAGATGATTTTTTTTTTCATCAGGAGCGAATTTATTTGTGGCCCATGATCAAAGGTATACTTGGTGTTGTCGCCTGTCTTAGTTTTCGGGAGCGTTCCAAAAATACCCTGTATATAATTGTGATAGTTCTGTAAAATGTACTTTAATCAAAAGTATTTTAATTTGTTAATATGCCTGGGTACTGCGTACTACCAGTGACTTTAATTATGCAGCATTTTTTTTTACAAACAATAATGATAAACAGATAAATGAATCACAGAGGGGCACAGAGGTCAAAGTCGTGAAAGTCGTCTTTGGATGTGTGCGTATTGCCATCTAAGTTAATTTTTTTTATAAAACAGATGTGACAAACAAACTTACAGTTCACCTGATGGTAAGTGGCTACTGCAGTACATGGACACCTGCAACCTTCAACCAAGGAAGGCTAAAGAAACATTGTCGCCTCTTAGGACTAAGTTTGAATGCCTCACAGCCTGCTATTATGTTAAGTTACTCATTAAAATATTTTGGGCCATTTTTTTACTTATTCTCTGACAAGTATTGTATGGACAGAATAATATCACGATACCAAATGCTTTTAGGTGTCATGACATGATTCTGTTATCCTCCTTCACTGATTGGACATACATTTTTTTGTATATAAATTAGGACGACATTAATTCCGCCTAATACCAGCAACTGAGGTGTTGTCTATTTATATAAGCCTCTATACACATCAACAATTTAAAAAAGGTGTAGCTTGTGTACGTTAAAATTAAAAATTGCAGATTGGACTCTTATTGCGTGAGCGAAACTCTAGCGCGCCCATATTCCTTGCATTCTCGTTTGCATGCACATGTAGCACCTATCAGACCAACAGATCATAGGTAATTCAAGTTACAATTAAAAATTATAGGAATCAAATTGGGTAGCCTGATAAATTCCCTGCTATTTTTTACCACATGTAAGCAGTAGATCACCATTTTAAGGAGTAAATATTTATTTGCCTATGTAGAGTGACAATTCTGTATTTTAGTAATCTATACAATTAAATAAATTGAAGCGTCTGTTTATAACATCTAAATAACAGCTTTTTACGATATGCATATGAAAGTATATACGGTACTTATAAAAAAAAAACATGATTTTTAAAATTTTTGTCTATCTGTCTTTCTGTCTGTCTGTCTGCCTGTTTGTTCCGGCTAATCTCCGAAACGGCTGGACCGATTTTGACCGGACTTTCACTGGCAGATAGCTGATATTATAAGAAGTAAGTTAGGATACTTTTATTTCAAAAAAAGAATTCAGAGTTCCACGCAAAAAAATTAAAACCCATGAAATCCTATCGTAATAAATTACGCGCGGGCGAAGTCGCGGGGTACAGCTAGTATTACATAATTATATTATTCATTAATTCATTCATAATTATTATTACATTATTCATTATATTTATTCATAATTATTATAGACTGTAGTTTGATTTCAGATTTAACAGCCTTGAGATTACAGTGTGTAAGCGAAGTGTCTTTGGTTTTATTGCAGTGGATCTTGGATTGTTTAACACAGTGGACCACAAGTACTGCCCATAATATTGGAATTTACTCAGGAAACAATTTTGTAGTTAAATCTAAAAGCTATCTGGACTTTTAAGGCACAACAAGATTGAAGCAATGCCTTTGCTCTTGTTCATCAAAATAACAATTATCTTGTTTCGCATGTATAATATCTGTATAACTTGTCTGTTCATTCAGCTATGGGATCTTGCTACTGAATCTCAATTTCATTAAACCTTGCAAGATTCAGACATTGATGGAGGCAATCAAACTTATGCTGGAGATGCTATGCTCTGTCTGATTGAACAATAATTGCTACAATAGTCAAAAATACCAAGGCTACTGGTGACTCAAGTACAGGTTCTCTAACACAACTATCATAGGTCTATTAAAAACAAAATACTTTTCCTAATAGCTTAACTATTCCTTCAAATACTCAATACAGATTACATATAATTTAAATAGGTTTCTTTAATTATACCTGTACTATTACTATTCTTAATCATACCATACAGAAGTTGAAAAACATACCAATCCATCTCCCCATTCGGGTAATAATGGTTTCCCATTCAGTTGCATATTTCATTACTATTTTCCGACATTCAGCATTGTAATTTTCTATACCCATTTTCTCCACATCTTCAGGTCCTTTGATACCCAATGTTTTATCAATTTCGAACTCAACAGGCAAACCATGACAATCCCAGCCAAATCTTCTTTCCACATGATATCCCTGTAAATAAGCAATAAATGTATTTGTATGATTTATACTAAAATATTTAATAAATTAACTACAAAACTATTTACCTTTTGATGGGCATATCTAGTCACTACATCTTTGATAGTGCCAGCCAATATATGTCCATAATGAGGTAACCCAGTAGCAAAAGGTGGTCCATCGTAAAATGAATACCTAAAAATTTACAGATTTTAATATAATATAAAGAAAACATTTAATATAAAAAACTTCAATTACAAACACAATTTGATAAGAAATGTGGGTTTAAGAAGTAAAAGTAATAGTGAAATTTCTCTGAAATCTCTGGTTTTATTCTATCCATGCTTGTTTTTCATGGCACTAACTCTGACATTAGAAATTATGATCAATGCAAACACATTACTTTCATGACCATTTTATTATAAGTACCTGGGATCAACGCTAAAAAAATCTGTCAAAGTAATTGTGAGGCCAAGTTCAATTACGAATATAACATACATAAAAAAATTATTTGTTTAAAGTATTAAGATTATTGTATTGACTTCCAATCATTATTCTTGCCTTATTTGTACTTATGTTAACTAGGAAGCAATTATTGAAAAGTTAAATTTTAAAATAACTTTTTTAAGAACATGAAAGAGTAATGACTTCGGCCTAATTGGTTAACCTGCTAAGTCCATTTTTTGGCAAAATTTACTTTTTATACCAGTCAAAAAGTTCAGTCTAATATCTACTGTAACCTTATAGGAATAACAGTGATATTAGACTAAAAATGTGACAAATGTTATGCCCGAAAAACTGCTTTTTGACCAATCCTATTGGGACCTCGGTTTTGCACTGACAACATTCCCAATCCCACATATAGATATAGATGAATTCGGTTTCAATACTTTCTAATTAAGGTATTATTTGACATATAAACAACCATTGAGTTATATGTACTACGTACTAGAGAAGCCATTCCGAACATTGACTATGTTCAACTGAACTGTAGTGCAATCCATACAAACTAAATATTGGGTAAATTGAAGATTTGTGAATTCCATAAAATAATTATTATTACATTTTATTTAGAAATATGTTTGTTTAGTTTAAATTAATATATTTTATATTAAATTCTTATATTTGTTTTATATTAATATCTTATTTAATATTAAATTAAAGTCATCGCGCATGCGCGACTACTACTCCCGCGCATGTGCGAAGACATAGAGTAGGACACAATTTTTGTTTGGAATGGCTTCTCTAGTACGTAGTACATATAACTCAATGTAAACAACCGAATATTTCAGGTAGTTAAAGTGCAAATTTGTTACATTTAAATCATTAAATAGTAATAAATAATAAATGTTAATATAATACTTTTTTATACTTGACATTTGCCATTGTATTTAGATAAGCTATTTTGATTTATTAACATTTTTGCACTTTTCAAAAATTACATCTTAAAAACTGGAATATGGTAATAGTATAATAACCCTTTCTGCCATAAAAATATGAACGCCATTTCCAGGGCTGCTGTTTATAAAGCTGGACTTAATCATTATCATTACAGCCCTTCACACCTTACCAGGTCATTACTCCTTCTAATCGGGCGCTACCCTAAGCTTCGCTTACCGGTACTAGGCAAATTAAATTTCAATACAAGGTTAGAATTTTTTACCTGGGCTTATTTTTAGATTGCTTCAAGCAATTCTGAAATGCATCAATATCTTTCCAAAACTTTAAAATCTTTTCTTCTTCTCTTGGGAAGTCTATATTTTCAGGAATTCTACTTATTTTTACGGACATGATGAATTATTATTGTATCGTCCACGAATACCTCCACGCCATGCCAACAAATTTTGACAAGGGTGAAGTGTCAATGTCAAGCTGTCAAGGTGTCAAGAAAGAGGAGCTTATGGCCTGGTATCTAGATCTTTAGGCCAATCAAGCAAAAGTATAGTAAGCCAGGGTTGCCAATGCCAATGTATGTAATTCCCCAAAAATCCGAATAAAATTCCCCAAGTTTGGGGACAAAAATCTGCTGATTCTCCACAAATGCCCCCCAATATTATTTTAAACAATGAAACAATTTTCAACTATTTAAATAATATTTATTTTTTAACCTTTTAGCAAAATGCTTGCATCAAATGTATGAAACATTTGATGCAAGCATTTTGCTCGAAGGATACTTAAACTTGACACTGCCACCCAACTTTTTTATCCCCTCTCTTGTTGCTATTAATACAACAATATCTTTATTTAGCCGATTGCAGTTTTCTGTTTCTAAATATCGAAGCGCACTAAATTTTCTTTCGACTGATGCGTTTGAAAATGGCAGTATGAGCTACAAAGACGTAACAATTTTTATGTTTGGAAACATGTATTCTCCCACAGCATTTTTAAGGCGAAACACTTCACTTTAGTAACTTTCGGCTTCAAGCACATTTTGATCAAAATCTAACAAAGCGTGAGTTAACCAATCGTCATCTTATTTTTGTGCGGTCACAAATTTATAAAACACAAAAACTGATGAGCTTCTGATGGATTTACAGCGGATATAATAGAAAGTAAAGGATCCCCGAAATCAAATCGCTTGGTAATGTCTGATGTCAATTCAATATAAAACTTTTGGCAGGTTCTATAGAAATCTGCAATAGCAGCACGAGGTACATTTTCGTCATTTTTTACATTTTCCATTCTTTCTCCAGCCTTTGATCCAAAATGTATTTCATTTAAATATTGGATTTCTGAAGTCTGCGTTTAAAATATTAGCACAGAACTTGACATAGCTAATTTTCATGAAATTAGAAGACAATGTTTTCAGAAGGACTTCTGGTTCTAATTTGGGAAGAAGGAATGTTTCTGACTAAAATAAGACATTGAATTTTGTTACCAGTGCAAGTACCTAAGACATGAATTCCAAATATACCACAGTGAATTAGTTGTTATTGTAATCAGCATTTCTTCAATAGTCTTTGACGGATCTGAGAAGACTGTTTCTGACAAGAAGGCTTTTAATGGAATATACTACTATTGATTAAAAAAAGAAACTGAACCAAAAACTATATAAGTCCATGAAAATTCTGTATAAATATTCACAATTGACACTAGGTGTCGCCAGAGTATTAATTATAATTTTGGAATAAACACGAAATCTGTAGAAAGAAATGTATAAACCTTACAAACATTATAAAATACACAAAACAATTTTACGATTGGCGAAATATTAAAGATGCACAAATTTAAATTTGGCGCTAGAGTATTGAGTCGTCCGTTATCCATAAGTAACTAAACTAATAAATATATTAAAATGTTTGGGATTCTCGCAAAAGTAATTAAGTAGTAAGATGTTAAAATCCCCGCATTTTCCCCGCATAATGCTAGTCCCCAATAAATCCCCAATCAACTTGAGATTCCTCGCAGTTTGAGGAATTCCCCACAAATCGGCAGTACTGATAGTAACTGTCCTATATAGGAAAGAGCGTTCAGTTGCATTCCTCTTCTCAAGTGTCAAGATGAATGCAAATGATTTTTTTTAAATAACTGGCTTTATGGCTCTAGATTCTAGCCCTTCTGAGCCTGAAGTTACAATGTATAATTATCCTTCATAGTACATTGCTTCCAGCACAAAGAAGTTGGCTTGGAAGTATGACTGGTCAAATTAATGAATAGGTGCACATAATTGCTCACTAAATGCTCAATTCAAATCTGCAATTGCTCGCATTATTAATTTATTATTTAAATAGTTATTAATAATTTAAAATACAGAATTTTTTTGTCAATTATACTTAAAACCAATAAACTTTTTTTTAAATGAATAACTGCCCATAATTGCTCACAAAATGCTTAATTTAAATCCGCAAATGCTCACACTATTAATAAGTTATTTAATTATTTATTAATAATTTAAAATACAAAATTGTTTTTTCCTACACCGATCAGATTAATGAATATGCGCTAATAATTGCTCACTAAATGCTCAATTCAAATCTGCAATTGGTTACACTATTAATTAATTATTTAATTAGTTATTAATAATTTAAAATACAAAATGGTTTTTTCCTAAACCACACAGATTAATGAATAAGTGCTCATAATTGCTCAGTAAAGGCTCAATTTAAATCCGCAAATGCTCACACTATTAATAAATTATTTAATTATTTATTAATAATTTAAAATACAAAATTGTTTTTTCCTACACCGATCAGATTAATGAATATGCGCTAATAATTGCTCACAAAATGCTTAATTGAAATCCGCAATTGTTCACACTATTAATTTATTATTTAATTACTTATTAATAATTTAAAATACAAGCCAACTTCTTTGTGCTATTGCTTCCCAATATGTTGATGCATCACATTGTGCAGCCCTTGGGAGATTTTGACGGCAACTTGAGCCAGCAGACAGCTGACAGTTGGCGACGGTATCTCAAGGCGCCTAAGTAGATAGACACCTTATTTTGAGAATCACATCATCATCAGAGCACTTGTTTCACAGTTTCCACTAATAGTTCACATGCGGAGACATTTAATACACAAAATCGCACCACTTTTACATATCAAAATCTACTTCAAACCATTATTTAAACCAATACAGGAGCAGCAATCCACCGCCAGTCAAATTCCCGCCAAAACTCACGCAACTGATCATACACATAATTCGCACAGACTACTTAGTGCAACTTAGTGGATACTACGATAAATCGACATAAATAAATATAAGTCAAACACTCAAGCCGCGATATTAACCACCACTTCCTGTATAGGACTGTTACTATACTCTTTGTCCACCACCCCACTATCGCGTTAATTAATTTGTTATTTTTTTCAGTCGTTGTCGTTATTGTTATTATTGCTATTACCGTTATATATATATAGAGCCGTGGTAGCTCAGATGGTTAGCGCTCGCTGTAAATTTCACAGTACGCGAGCAACCCGGGTTCAATCCCCACCGACACCAATGAAATTGTTAGTTGCAATTTTAAGTACTGATTTACTACGTGCTCGGCGGTGAAGAAAAACATCGCGAGAAAACCTGCATGTCTGAGAAATAAGAAAAAAAATTCGAAGACATGTGAAGTTCGCCAACATGCATTGGGGCAGGGTAGCGAACATTGCCTTGCCCTAAAACCCTCTCAGAGATGAGAGGAGGCCTGTGCCCAGCAGTGGGACGTATATAGGCTGTAACTTTATGTATATATATCTGTTACTGACTGTTCATTGTTACTGTTTTTGTGCGTCGAAGTTAAAATGGGCCATAAAAAATATGCCCACATCATGTACTGTTATGTTTAAGCTGACGACAACGTTGCTGGGGCTCGTAGAGAATATCAACGTTTATGTAATAAATGTCTACGCATATGAACTATTAGTGGAAACAGTGCCCCGATGATGATGTGAATCTCAAGATAAAGTGTCTATCTGCTTAGGTGCCTTGAAATACTTTCTATAAAGGATTATTATCACTGGATATTGAAAGTCTATAAAAACGAAGATCCCGAACAAAACAAACACTAGAGAATGGTTTAAAAGACAAGTATCTAATCTAATCTAATATCTTAATAAAAATATGTATCTATGATATTTATTTATCTATGGTGCTTGTGACGTATTTACTTTAGGGATCGCTTCGGCTCAGAACATGAAGTTATAGATAAATCTTTATCTATTACTTCATGGTATGGAGTGTAGAGTAGAAGGAGAACCATCTTATAAGGTGCGAAAGTTGAAAAAGTGTCCCATTATATACTGAAAATAGAGGTTCCAAAACCTACCACAATAGCGCTGGCGTCTGAAAAACTACGATATGAAGATAGCTGTTGTAGACGGAGTGAAGTCAGCTGAACTCAAATATTTAAAAAAAAATTATGACTAGACTAGTTAGAAAAATTCAAGTATACAAAACCTCAACTATTTACGTAGTACAAAACCAAGCAGATTGGTCGGTCCTTATTTATTTCTCCATCTTATTCTAATTAATTTTGGCGCTTTTTTTTAATTTATCCTATGCTACTGCAGCGCCAACCTTATTGGACGCGTTTTTAGGGACACTTTTCATATACAGTGATGGTCCTCCTTCTACTCTACACTCCATAATCTATGGGCTAGACCCAGAGCCGTAAAGCCAGTTTAAAAAAAATACTTTAGGGGTGTCTACTTTGAATATACATCGACGTTTGTTTTCGATGTAATGCAACGAGACTGTGCATCGATATATTATGATGCATCGGTTAGAAACATCGATGTTTTTTCAACATCGAGTACTTTTTCGGACTTTAACACTTTATTACATTTGTTTAAGCAAAATTATATAAATTATTTGTTAATTTACAAATTAATTTGTATAATTCGCTTCGTGATTCGAGTCACGAATGGTTTGCTGAAATTCATTAAATAAAATATAGATTATTTGTGATGTAAAATATCTTACATATATCAAAGTCATCTATTGTTCATCCATTATAGTCTATAAAAGTCCACTGGTGAACGTAGGGCCTCCCCCAAAGATTTCCTTCTATGGAGGGATTTTGCCATAGTTGCCACCCTTGGCAAGCGGGTTGGCAACCGCAGTTTTGTATCATTTTGAGTTGAAATAACAAAGTATCTTGTATTTATTTTGTCATTCAGTAAATTATAAAATTGTAATCTTGTTCACATGAGAATAAATAAGTTAACCTGAAAACTTTCTTTATTACTTTACTTAACAGTCCAATTGAACTTTTACGGAAAAGATGGGATTTTCCTCAAAAACAATAAAAAAATCTTAGTACGTTTTATAAAGTTGCACATTCATGACACAAATAAAATTAAATATAATTTAATTAAAGTTTTTATTCAAGGCTTACCGAGACAAAACAGACGATTTTTTGTCAGACAGTGCTGCCCACCAGCCAATGTCAATTTCTTGATTCCGCTTAAGGGATTGACAGCTACCATCTAGCGCCACCAACAGGTTTAATATTATAACTTCTAAATCAGAGCATATATTAGTTGCTCTGATTTAGAAATTATAATAAGTATTAACAACAAAATGAATAACAAAGTGATAGGTAACTATACCTTTTGACTTTATTAACTATTAGCTGGTTATCATTAATTCGATGTTTTATGAAAATACATCGATATATTGAGTATATCAAGACCTTTCCAAAACATCGGATCGATTCGATGCATCGTATTGTAAACATCAAGTGAATTCGATGATCGATGCATCGATGTATATCGAATACGAATATTTCAAACGTTAGTAAACAACTTTAATTTGTGATGTTATTTTTCTTTTTGGTCTGTGGAATATCTCTATTTTTTTTTGCCCTCTGCAGTCTGCACTCTGCACTTACACTCTTATCTATGCTTACTTTTCTCTATGGTTCATACTTTCGTACCTTTCGTAAATTTCTAGATTTTGTGATTTATTTATTCTTTGTTATTGTCTTAATATTCTAAAAATATGTAAATCTATTCTAAATCTGAAGGATTGTAGGCAAACAAACTTAATCCACAGGCTACTAAGAACCTAATCGTATACCTCTGCTTTGTAATTCATACATATTACTGTTCTTGTAAAACTACGTTACGATGAACTGCAGTTGGATAAAAATAACACAAAAGTTAGTAGTGAACCATTATCTAAGAATTGGTTGAAAATTTTACTAAGTAAAACTGTTCACATTATTCTTAAGCAAAATGCATTTTAATTTTTTTTAAATGGTTATAATTATTTTAAAGATTATTGGGCATGTTTTATGTACCAAATTTAGAATCTCTTTCCCGTTTGTCGAATAGATCCAAGAATAAGTTCCATTTGTATATATTTAAACAGATTCTTATTTATATTGCTTGATGACACATTTACAAAGTTGTATGATTGAATGTAAAAGGGCATTTCATTAATTTTACAGTTCATAAAGACCACTGCTAGCTGCTGCTTCCATAGGTTAAAATGTGACTAGTCAGTTTTTGACTTTACACAGCATAAACTTGTTTAGCTCTCCTATTCTTCGCGTCTTCCAACTCATTATTGATGTTGATCATAATTGTTGTATGATATCCAGCTTCAGTTGAACTTAACATGCAGCTTTTATTCTGGTGTCAAATAAGTTAAGGTACATGCGTAATAATCAATTTCTATTTTAGGAAAAATTATAATATCATCTAGCCTTTTACTTATTTGAAATCATATGTTAAAAGATGTATTATAATGCATGGTGACTCAAAAGTCGACTGTGATAATTATTAGAGATGAAACAGATAGCTATATGGCAAGATACCGGATATTCGGCCAGTCTCATCGCTGGATAGCCAGATATCCGGCCACCAAATGTTCTGCCGAACATTGCCGTTTAGTGCATCCCAAGAAGTGAACTTGCGTAAGTGGCACTAGTGATGGTGATCGTGAGTACGTGGAACTGGCTACTTTGAGTCTCTCCATTCATGAAAGGAGTTAGCAATTGTTTCATTGACTTGTTGTATTGATTGCAAACAATTGTTTGAGGTTAGGTTAGAAAGTCATTTCAACTCCTTTAGACAAGATTCTAACTACTTGATTGCTACTTATCAAGACCCAGGGCAGGTATTCAAAATAAACTACTTGGGAGTTGTTGAAGCTGAAAGAGCTCACCAGGAAATTCCATTGGAATACTTAAAAATTTCTTGCGAATAGTCCTCCAGTAGGTGCATCTTCAACACCGGCTAAAATAGTATAGGAGGGCCAAAGTCATCTGTATCTTGCAAAGCTCATTACATGTTCTTGGATTGTTTTAATGAAGTAGCAAATGAAAACAATACTAGCCAGTCTCACCATGAAGAAAGAAATGCGATTGCATGTGACATTGATTTTTATCTAGTCAGGGTGAATTGCACGCGATAGTGACCGTTATATTTGCTGAACTGCTAATGCTATACGATGCTCTAATTTACCAAATTTTGCCAAAATCTATTTTTCAGCACCCTAAAGCAATGTGTACATCAAAAGAAGCTCACCTTGTTAAGGAAGATAGTCGAAAGACGAGTTGCTTATTACCCTTCAATGCAGAGAAATTAGTATTTATTCACCATAATTTGCCCTTAGTGCAGTACGAGTACTAATTTTCTAAGTTTTAAAATGAAAATTTTGTGATTACTGATTTATATTTGTTAAGTGACATAAATAAAGTACTTTTTTCTGCCGACTTCCAAAAAGGAGAAGGTACTTAATTCGACTGTATGTTTTTTTTTAAAATGTGTTACCTCATAACTTTTTACTGGGTGAACCGATTTCGATGATTCTTTTTTATTTGAAAGCTGGTACTTCTTGTGTGGTCCCATATGAATTTGATCAAGGTCAAACCAATAGTTTTTGAGTTATTCTTAATAACTTATATTGAAGTTGGCTGTACAAAATTTTTAATTTTAAATTATTTAAATGCGGTATCCGGCTGCATAGCAGCTTAATATCCTGTATCCAGCCAGATAGTTATTTACACCGGATAGGCCAAATACCGGATAGTTACCGGCTATCCGTTTCATCACTTATAATTATTAACAGAAGTCTTGTTTAAGTCACATTTATTGAAATACTTCTACATGCTTGATGATTAAACAAACCTTTAAATTAGAGCCACAGTAGGAGTATCGTTTAATGGTGGTTGTAGTCAGTGCTTTTGATAAAATACTAATATTGTTTTGCTATTTTGCCCAATTTCCTTTTCTACCGACTTCAAAAAGGAGGATGTACTCAATTCGACTGTATGTTCTTTTTTTATGTTATATATCATAACTTTTTTCTCAGTGAAATGATTTCGATGATTCTTTTTTTATTTGAAAACTGGTGCTTCTCATGTGGTCTCATATAAATTTCATCAAGGTCTGACCAATAGTTTTTGAGTTATTCTTAATAATTTATATTAGAGTCTGTTGTACAAATTTTTAATTTTAAATTACTCTCACAGGCACAATTCACTGCCCTTCTTAAGTGGCACTACTTTTGTTTTTGAAAGTTTATACATTTCATGATTATAATTTGTGTTAAGTGGGTACATTTTGGAAACAAATTAAACAAATCTACCCTCTTTTTTTGTTTATCTTGTGGTTTTAACACAATTTTAAAGATTAGTCTACAGTTAGCGTTATTTGGAATCTGTATATTGGAGTCTTAAAATTATTGAAATTGTTATCATTATCAGTTAAAATTGCTGAAGTAAACTTCTTAAAGTAAATTTTAGTGTTAGAGCTGTATGCTGTGTTTGTTTAGCTGCTAGAGCTGTAGCTTTAACTGAGGGGTACAGCCAGCAACAAATTGCACCAACATTTGGTGTACTGCGTACAACGATACGAGACGCCATACGGCGGTATCAGACAGACTGGTCGTTACACACGGAGACCCGGTCAAGGGCGACATCGATGCACGTCAGCTCGGGACGATTGTTTTATTGTCAGTAATGTTACGTTTCGCGCATGATAATGCTAACTGGTCAATGCAGGAATGTAAGAATGTTTTGATCTCAGATAAAAGCAGAATTGCTTTAAGAGGTCCTGATGGACACCAGCGTGTGTATAGACGCACCAACGAGAGGTTTTCTCCGCGTGCAATAGTGGAAACGGTGGGATATCAAGGAGGCTCAATTATGGTATGGGGAAGCATAAGAAGAGGCTCGTACCGACCTCGTTATCTTTGAAAAAGGTGCTGTAAATGCTCACAGGTACGTCGAAGAGGTTCTGCAAGAACATGTCGCATGCACGCAGTCCCGACCTCAAGTCAATAGAACGCATATGACAACCTCAAAAGACGCATTAGTGCCAGGATACCAGCTCCTGCCACCATACTTGAAAGCAGCTGCAGTAGAAGAATGGCACAACATTCCTCAATCTGAGATCCAGGACATTATGGATGGGCTACGTAAATCTTCGAACATACTTTTATCTGAACACTATTTGTAATAAAAGGTTTGCTTTTGTTTGTGTATTCCAGATAGGTGGTTTATTATGAATTATTTATTGACTTATTAGCAATAACTTTAAGAACTTGTCTAATCGAACATGTATCTAGATGTTTTAAATTAGAGATTGGTCTGAACGTTTGGTCTGGCTTCTGTACTACAAAAAAGGTAAGATACAAATATGCTTCTTGAGCTTGGAATTTTTGGAATTTTCTAAGACAGGTACTTGAATAATTTCATGTACGTGACAGAGTGATATTGCCACTGGTGAAGATAATTGGCCACGCGAACCGCTTTGAAGTGCGCTGTTGCGTGCGAAACGGAGCCGATGAATGAAAACTTTTGTTTGGCTGGCTCATAGGGACGAATCTGTATCGATTGCCTTCTGCAGACGTGAAAGATTTTTTAAAAGCGGCTAAAAGTGGGCCAGATTGGAAAAGATGTTCACAGTTAAGTGGTATTTTGCGAAGGACTGTTTTCTTGAATTGTGTCCTTGACCTTTGCGAGTAGCATATTTCGTCTTTGTTAAATGATATCCAAATAACCTGTATTTGTTAGTACTTACACCAGTACACATATCCATGATAATAGTTTGTCACACTTTGAGTAACATATTTTTTCACTACATTTTTGTCACTACAGCAAAGGTCTGATCCAAAGATTTCAACGCAATGTATGAAATAAACTATCATTAACTTCCAAATTAAAACCAGCTGGCAATGTGACATACTTTTTCTGCCTCTTTGCATAGCAAACCCAATGCGTGGTATTGAAATATTTTAACTTTTCATCAAATTCTGTAGTTCGGTTATCACTTGCCCTGAGTAAAGTCAATTGCATGCCTTAAGCGCAAAGCGCGTAGGTATGTTCTACTAGCGCCTAAATATCAAAATTCCAACGATTTGTCGCATAAAATCGTCTCTAACAATCATATTGAACATATAAATGATATAAAACGCACATTGACAGAAAGATAAATCATTGTTGAACTTATTAATATATTTTTTAAATCGTTTAATTGCTATTTTTACATAAAAAGTGGTTTTAGTGGCGTAGATTTATCAAGTCCGCAAGGAGTGGTAAACACGATAACTTTTGAAAATACCTATTGTTTCACTCAATCTATTTTTAATCTCTTCATCTATCACGTGGGAAGCCATGGAATGTAAATGGCAGTTTAATTTTCTTTTGTTTAGTTACCTATAATTAATTTTTTTCGGCGTAGAAATCCGGAAATTTTCGATGTTATAGCAGCCTTGTAATAATTTATTTTATCTGCCTTCACTCACTCACTTCGGCGCACCACGGCGTCAAACGCCGTCGTGAGTGGATACTGTGTCGGTTGTTTGCAGCGGATCAAAAAGATAGCTGTACAAGTACAAAATATCCGATAAACCAAATTTCATACATTATTATCATAATAATCAGAGATTTTTATTACAATGTTTTAAAAGCACAGAATAAATAATAGTACTACGTACTAAAAGTAAGTAGGATGTATATTTTTTAAGTATATTTTTTAATTTTTTAAATTGAAGTTGACGTAAAATTGTTGGAAAATTTGAAGTATAATAATAAGGTTATTAGTGAAAACTTGTGTGTATTTAAACTACTTTAAAAAAATTACGTATAATCATGTTATACGTATTTTTTTTTAATGCGCTTAGGGTATGCACAATTGGATTTATCAATATTTGGTTTTATTTTCATATGACACTTTCTACATGGCTTCTGAAAAGATCGAAAATGTGTCTGTCACCTTCCTTATTATTCAAACCGTAGCATGGAAGAGTTACTAGGGCCCGGCTGAAAGGCATTGTACTTTCGTGTCATTTAAATTGCAAGCGATGGTTGTTGTTTATCTTATCACGCTTTGAAGAGGATACTGAGTCATCAAAGTCGTTGTGATTATCAGACTCACTGTACAGTAGTCGCGGACGCTTATTGGTACATGTTTCTCGCGTTTCGGTTTACTTCTTGAAGATCTATGAAATTTATTGACTTCTTAGAGATCATTATTAGCAATATTTTCGTTAATTTTTAAATGAATTTTAATTAAAACCGATACAATAAAGAAATTTTATAATGTATTAATTTTTACTGTGTTTCGGTCTGAAACTAAATGCTAACTAAACACTACGCTACCGGTGGGGCAGCAATAGAATAGGAGAAGTGCAAACTATGAGAGCAAGAGGAAGACAAGTTTTCGCTGTGTTAAGTCAAAAACTGACTTCATAATATTTTGAGATATAATTCAGATATGTTACAGCTACTTAATATAAATGCTACACAATTAGGTTTTATATTTAAGATAATATTGGCTTAATATATTATAACCGATAAATTAAATCTATAATAAAAAGTTAAAGCTGATTTAAAAAAGAAACCACATAACAGCTTCAGAAGTTGGTGTGAATGTATAGTGTATAGAAAAATAATAGCTCTAACTTCGGAATAGGGATTTGCACTGGAGACAATTTCAATTCTGTAGAAAATCTCCGGATGATTCGAATTCTCTGGGTTGCATAAGACATATAAGAAGACTTATTGGCCTACATTCTGTAAATGTAAATTTTTGTCTTTCTCTCCTCTTTAACGATACCATTGATGATATTGCTCAGCATTGATTGTCTAGACCGGTTGTAATACTTAATAATAAAGCGATTCCTTCTCATCTTACCACATAATATATTAAGCCGCGTCTCCACCAAAGTTTTGTTGTCAACACACAACAAAACATGTTTCCATTTTCGGCGGCAACATCAAAGGAATACGCTTGTTGTCGACATTTGTTCCCTCGGTGGAGACGCTTGTTGACAGAAACATTTGTTGGCAAAACGTGTTGGCAACAAAACTTTGGTGGAGACGTGCCATTACAATACTTTCGTGGATATTTTGTTTTGGTGCAGAATTTTATCAGCTGTCCGGTATCTACCAATTTTTTTTACGTTTTGTTTTATCTTATCAAATACATATTCCATAGAAAACTACAATTTTTTGTCGGAAAATACGTTTTTGCTCCTAGATTTTCCGCATGGCATACAAACATTGTAGAACAGTTCTATAATTAAACTTGAACTTTACTATAGGTAACACTATTATATGAACTTTACTCTTTTTTCAGTTTACAGAAGGGTATTTTGGTCATTAACCAATTGGATGATACAAAATTTGAACAATTTTTGAAAAGAATTGTTATAAAATTACGATTGCAGGATACAGAAATTTTTACAGTTGATGAAAGAAAGAAACTTCAAGTAATATTTAAAATAGATGAAGAGACCTTATTGATAGCAATCAAAACAATAATTTATTTATATAAAAGGCTACTAAAATTTATATTTATGCCAGTTGATTTACAAAAGGACCTGATGCATATTGGATTTAATAATGAAAAAACGGAATTTATTGTAAAGATGTGGTCCTTGGAAATAAGTCCTACCTTAAGTGAATTAGCTTCAAAAGAAAGCAATAAATGTGGAGAGTCGCTAAATTTTTCATGGAAATTGAATACTGAATTAAGTTCTAGTTTACAGAAAAAATGTAAAATTCCAAAAGCTTATTTATTAATATCTAATGAGAAAGAAGAAAATGAAATGGAGCTTACTCATTCTGATCTATATGCAATGTTCATTCAACTTGAATCCATTCAAAATGATTTGGATAATCTAATATTGTAATAGTGTTTCCAATTTAATATACCATAAGTGCCTTAGTTACATTTATATGTGAAAAATTTGCATATTATATAGAAAATAGGTCATGTTATTTAATGTTTTAAATTATAAAAATAAAAATTTATTTTTAACCATACCTTTATTTTTAATTCTTAACAGAATAACAGCAGAAAATCTTTAAATTCTTTAAAAAAAAATACCAAAAGGAAGCGGCCATACCGTACCGTGGCATTTTGAAATATTAATTTTGTCACTTATTTAAGATGTAGAGTAGATTGTTTCAATTATGGCTAATAATCTTCTGCTCACCAGATGTCGCTAGTTGACACTGAGGTGAAATTTTCTGTTAAACAATTTTATTTAATTGAGAAGTTATAAATGAAAGTTTATCACTTTCTAGAGTATTATATTAATACACAAAACAACGCCTCAGTGGTTTGTTCTTTAAGTTTTTGCATGTTTTAACTTATCTTTTTTAAATTTTTCTACTTTTATGTATTCTTGGAGCCGCGAAATTGTGACTCCAAAGTCCATGCGATCTGTCTGCCAGAAAGAGCCAACTGTCAAAGCTGAAGACGGAGTGTGGCAGCATCGTTTCCGGGACACCTGAGATTTTGAGTGAGATTGATAGGTTCTATGGGCAGCTGTACACATCATCGTTAGAGCCATACGCAAGTGTGAGTAACGATCCAAGATCAAGTCTTATCCGACACTATTCCGATGATATCCCGGACGTCAGTCTGAGAGAGATTAGAATGGCTCTCCAGCACCTTAAAAACGGCAAGCCCCCGGGCGAGGATGGAATTACAGTGGAACTTCTGAAAGCGGGTGGAAAACCAGTACTTGAAGTCCTTCAGAAACTCTTTAATTCCGTGGTCCATGGTGGCACTACACCCTAGGCGTGGAGCAGAAGTCCGGTGGTCTTGTTCTTCAAAGGCGACAATGCTCTCTTGAAGAACTACAGACCGATTTCGCTTCTGAGCCGCGTCTACGTGCGGTTTTCGAGAATCATTACGAATCATCTCGCTAGCAGACTCGATGACTCAGCCTCCCGAACAGCCGGTTTCCGTAAAGGTTTTAGCACCATAGACCACATACATACCCTTCCGCAAATTATACAGAAGGCCGAGGATTACAATTTGCTTCTATGTCTTGCGTATGTGGACTATGAGAAAGCCTTTTGATTTGATTCCGTCGAAATTTGGGTGCTAATGCAATCCCTTCAGCGGTGCCAAGTTAACTGTCGGTATATCGAAGTGAAGTATTTGTACAGTACGGCTACGATGGCTATCCGAGTACAGAACCCGAGTTCGAAACCCATCCAACTGCAGAGTGGTGTAAGACAGGGTGACGTTTCCGAAATTCTTCACCGCTGTATTGAAAGACGTTTTCAAACTACTGGACTGGAAAGGATACGGTATTAACAGCAATGGCGAGTACATCACTCACCTTCGCTTTTCCGACGATATAGTGCTTATGACAGATTAACTGGAGGACCTAAGCACTATGCTCAATGACCTCAATAGTGCCGTCTTAAGATGAACATGAACAAAACAAAGATATGTGTAACGCCCATGTCACACCTTTGCCGGAAATTATGACACTTCTTCTCGACAGGTATATCTCAAAACTTAAAAACGAGATTGTACAACCAGTGCGTGCTGCCAGTGATGACTTACGTATCTGAGACGTGGTCCCTTACTGCTGGCCGTATGAGGAAGCTCAAGGTCACTTAGCGAGCTATAGAGAGGGCTATGCTCGGAGTTTCTCTGCGTGATGAACTTAGAAATGAGAATATCCGTAGTAGAATCAGAGTGGCCGACATAGCCCAACGGATCAGTAAGCTGAAGTAGCAATGGGCCGACCATAGAGCTCGAAGAACCGACAACCGATGGGAAAAAAAGATTCCTGAGTGGCAGCCTCGTACTGGTAGACGAAGTGTAGGACGACCCCCACACTAGATGGAACGAAAATCTGGTAAGAAATGCAGGAAGTCGATGGAGGCAGGTGACTCAGGACTGTGCTTTGTGGCATTCCTTGGGGGATGCCTATGTTCAACAGTAGACTTGAAGGGATGTAATGATGATGATCATCATTACAGCCCTATAAGTAATCTATGGCTTAAGCGACTGCTCAGAAAAGCATTTATTTGTAAGTGTAGGAACTGCATTAGAGTGATTGGCAGATAATTTGAACATTTACATCTTGACAAAAATAATTATATGCGGGACATGTATACGGTATAATAATAATGAATGATATAATAATAATAATTAATTATAAAACATCTATGCGCCCTCCTCTGTTCTAATTTTCTAATTTGCTATACCCAACACGGTCCATATTGTGATAATTTAATTTATTAATTTGTACATTATGGAATGCAAATAAATATTGAGTATTGGGTTTCAGCGCCCGGACCCCGTCTCTGTCCTCGTGCTTTCTTTAGTGACATGCAGTCGTGACACGTCTCATTTTTATACTCGCTCTATGCACTTTTCACACTACGCCATTTGTCTATGCTAAGTAAAAATCGGAAAATTCGCATCAGATAGTTTCAGAGAAAATAGCAAGGGATTTTATAAAAAAAGGTCACGACGACAGTTATGAGTTATGACTCGGATTCACTCATACATGATTTCGGATGCGTTAGATTTTGAAGAAAGGTCGGAGATTGAAGAATCTTATTCCTCTTACGATTATGAATCGAAATTGCTAACTTTATTCTGTGTTCCTATACCTATAGAGGTGGCATATTTTACCATAGAAATAATAGTTATGCAAATATCTAATAATATCGACACACTTGTCAAAAACAGTTTTATCTCTTTTTAACAAAGCAGTAGCAGCAATACAAAAGAAAGTCAACTACAGTTTGTCAAGTGCTTATTTTGATAGCACTTTCGTGTGACGTCATTAGCTCATCCATGCGTGACTGCGTCGCCATAATAAGCGCCAAGTTTTGTGCATAGATAAATATATATGTAGCAAGCTAGTTTTGTGGTAGACAAACTGTCAAAAAACAGTGACAGTCTCGTATAGAAATTATTTTAATAATTTTTTTTATAGGATAGGGCATAGATAAATATATATGTAGCAAGGGATAGGGTGAGAAACGAGCACACAGTCCACCTGATGGTGAGTGGTTCCTGTGACCCATAGACATCTACATTTATCCTCAATAAAGAATCAAAATGCAGATGCGTCGTTACCCGTGAGGACTAAGATGGAATGCCTCTTTTCCAGTAAAAACGGTCTCCGGTTTTCTACACGTTAAGCTGCTATTTACGCTAGTATTATGTGAGAGCGTGGTCAATCCCCGGTCGAGCCGAACCATTCGTGCTACATACTTACTACTAATATAGCTGCAGCATGGCTCTACCATGTGAATTTATTTTGTTCAGAAATTAATAAATAATAACAATAATAGTTTATAAATCCAGAATATTATATTTCATCCACTGTTTCATGATCAAGCCAGATTTTCGAATTTTAAATGAAAAAAATAATGTACCTGCAAAAAATAATATTTTTCATTTAAAATCAAAGTGAATAAATAAAATGTGATATCCAGCTGGACCGAACATGCTTGTATAACTTACCATTTGTGATCAATCATGTGCAGAACGTTCCTAAATACCAATTAATAATAAATAAGTATTGATTTTTATAACAGTTTATTTAATTTTTACTCAACTAATCATTATTATTTTATATTAAAAATACTATAATATGGGATCAGGCATTGATTTATATGTTACACGAGATAAGTAGGGTAGACTGGGTACGGTTGAAACATTTTAGTGTTTATCGTCCATTACATCTAAATTAGTTAAGCGAGCGATGACTGAAATATATTAATTAAAAGACCATATATCTGTCTTCTAATGGGTAATGTTATTTGAGATCACTGTATTGCATTTTATGTGTAAAATCAAATTTAAAAAGAAAATTAATTTGTTTCAACCGTCCCCCTGCCAGGGTCGGTTGAAACAGTGCCTGGGGTCATTTGAAAAATACAAAGAATACAAAATATAATTAATGAACATGTTTAATTCATCGTCTAATAACATTTTAGGACTCTTAATTGTACAGTTGAACATCACAAATATTTTTTTAAATTAATATTCAAGTCTTTCATGATACTTATAATCTATCATTATTTTTATTAAGGCAATTGGAGTTTTTGTAAGCAGTGGAGAGCGAAAGATAACATTTTGACGTGGTAGAGCCATGCTGCAGCTATAAATAGTATAATTGTAGCACCAATGTGTCGCTCGACCGGGGAAATATGAATAACTTGTCACCAGCTATTTCGTTGTCATCTCAAGTCCGAGGTCTTGACAGCATCCTTTTTAGTTTGGCCAAAATATATGTCTGCACATCTAAAATTAAAGTAAGTCTTATATCCCATTTATTGATTTTCATCATCACCAGTCGTATCTCGTTTATACCTCAACAGGGAACAATGGTTCAGTCCATTATTTTCTGCCGCTGGTCTTAACGAAGATCCGGCTTTTACATCTTCATAGGCTTCTTTGTACGTTGATAAGTCGGCCTGACCTCTCGTAGTCTTCCTTTGGCGTACACTTGGCAGCTAAGAAACAAGAAAATTAAATAAATAAACTGTTTCAACCATACCCACAAAAAATGTTTCAACTGTCCCCAACCCCCCTTCTAGGTATAAAACGGTTCACAGTAAGAATGATAATAAATTTGAATAAAAACCAATCATACAGCCATATTCTACAAACTTCAAATAAAACGATACAACACCCTTAATACTCTAACTTTAATAAAACCATAATAATTGCAAAAAATGTACGAACAGAAATACTTACTTTTCCGTCAAAAAACACAATGGGGCCTCCTATACATAAGCACAGCGCGCGAAGAGCGACGCAACACTAAAATTCATGTTTCGACTTGTCTCCCGCTTCGTTCTCCCTTTGCACTCCTCACCTCATCACGCAAGGTGTCGAGATATTGGCTTTGTTTCAACC